AATCTTTACACTGTAGTGACTGTACTGTATATAAGTTCCCAGCATTCCCTCTCTTTTTTTTTTTTTTTTTCCCTCCCCCAAAAAAGTTGTCCTCATTAAGGGCCCAGTGCCCAAGGCGATACAACAGCGAAAGAGCAGAAAAAGAGTCCCGGGGCCCACTCAGTCTCAGGCCTGCTCTACAGGTCGAGCCACTGCCCCCCGGCAGCAAAGCCAAGCTTCCTTCATTCTATCGTCAAATTTCTCTTCCCCTTTTTTTTTCTGAGGGGGTACCCCCTAACATTATTGTAGCCATACGATACCATCTGGATTCAAACTCCTGATCTGCTCATCAAACCCTCGTCGTGATCTGTTCGCCAAATCAATTAGGGCTCCCGGCGAGGTGTGTGGCATAACAGCCACATGGGCCGGGTTTCCAGGGGTTCGTCCGCTCTGCCATTTTCAGAGGGCACTCTCACTAGCACTTTCCTGGACGTACCTGGGCGTAATTCTGGCCTGCCATGGATGTATCTGGATGCAATTACAGTCAGAGTCGAGTAAGAAAGCTCCCAGCGTAAGTTATGCGCTCAGCTCCACCATTTTCGGAGGGGTACTCGCACTAGCACTTTCCTGGACGTACCTGGGCGCAATCATGACCCTCACCATGGATGTACCTGGATGCAATTACGGTCAGAGCTGAGCAAAAAAAGCTCCTAAGTCTAACTACACCCTCAGTTATCAGCGGTATCATGGAGGGTAACCTCCTCTCCAGGAGCGGTGAGGGCGAGAACCGAGGAATCAAAAAAAAATAGGCAGGAGTAAAGAGATTCGTTGAACGTAGTCTAGTCGATCGACATTCGAATTTGCATATGAACATGAACAAAATTCAATAAAAAAATTCAAAAACAAAAACAATTCAAATACAAAAAAATTCAAAAAAAAAAAGTAAAAAAAATCAACAAAATTCAACAAAATGAATGTTTGCCGTTTTCTGACCGAAAACAGAATCTGGCATCAGGAAATATACCTACCAACCATGGTGATGCGACTTGCGGGCAGGCGGCGCTGTACGATTTGGACCACCACAAGTGTGGCACCTTCGACCCGATACCCACCACCTCTATAACGAAAAACGACGCGCAGCTTGGCCACAAGGTTCCAGCCGCTTCACAGTCCGTAAAATTGTCGCCCATGGCCGGAGGCCGGAGGAGCTATAAGACAAGCTCTCCTTTCGTCCACAACGGCAAAGTGCGTACATTGAGAACAAATGTTGAGATCACTACGAAGTAACACTAACCCGTCTGCTGCTGCATTCACCCAGCGATGCTGTGCCAAGTACCTCCTCTCCTCTCCTCTCTCTCTCTCTCTCTCTCTCTCTCTCTCTCTCTCTCTCTCTCTCCCCTTCGGTTCCTTGTTTTCTCCCCTGCCGTTCGACCGAAGCTTGACTTCTGGTCCCACTCACCAGAAGACATTTTCCTCAGGTGCTTGCCTTGTCCTTCTCCGGCTGGTTTCACAAAAGACGCCCCATTCGAAAATCCTGCATAGAAAAATAAAATCACCATTTTGGCACCGACATCGTCCTTCCCTGTAGAGAGTTCAGGAAGATAGTTTTATCGCCGTGTGGGTTTACTGTAATCTTTTGCCTTGCCTTCCAAAACAAGTCGCCGAGCATTCGCTCTAGCGTCTCTGGGTAGTTTTATCGCCGTGTGGGCTGACTGTAATCTTTAGCCTTGCCTTCGAACAAGTCGCCGAGCATTTGCTCTAGCGTCTCTGGGTAGTACTTGATGTATTTGTGAGGATTCTTTCCATTCTGCAAGGAAACCCTGCTCGATTCATTCAGCCGCCATCGTACAGAAAACATGACCAGATACATCAGCCATCACACAATCAGCCGCCATCTGCAAGGAAACCCTGCTCGAATTACCATTGAATCGTTCAAACTTGAACCAGTTTGAACCAGTTTGGTTGTTTGTTTGTTTGTTTGTAAACTTTGTTTGTGTTTTTGTATTTAAAAAAAAAAAAGAAACAAGTCGGACCCGCCACGGCGAAGCCCCGGCTCAGAGGCGGGGATGAGACAAAGCCAAACAAAAAMGTTGAGCCGTCGCAGTTTTCGCCACCAAAAAACAGGGAAAAAAAAAGGGGCAGGCACGTGGCAAAGGCAAACGCACCAGCTACCAACTGGCCTAGCTCAGTTGGTACACCTCTGACCTGTTGAAGTACAGACCAAGTTCGGACGGAAGAAGATGAGCAACATACTACGACAATTCTGAATTACCCGAGGCCGCTCAGTTCGATGATCACGGGCCTCGCTCCACTAGTCACGGCATGCATAAAAGACAAAAAATATATATAATATATATGGCTAAGTATCTGGGGATGCTCTAGGAGAGGAGATTCATTCTCATTTTGCACATTGGGTGAGTCGAGGAGTGAGTCCCCATACTTCACGGTCGTCGCCCTTCCAGAGACATCTTCAGCTTCGCTCCACTGCTCGCCGCATGCACAATACAAATAAGAGTGAATCCCCCGCTAGAACATGCCCAGACACACCACCATTACTTTTAGCTTTTGTGCACGTGGAGAGCCATGGAGCCAGGCCCTTATGCACGTCTTTTCTTCTTCTTCTTCTTCTTTCGTCCCTCTTTTTTCTTTTTCTTCTGCTTTTGTCGTTTTCTGCCACACTGCCACGTGGTGGGTTGTTCAGGTCCTGGCTCCACTACTCACGAAATGTGGACATCGAGAATGAATCCACACCCCTAAAACAAGGGGAGATGCGGCTGGCAGAAAATGACAAAAACAGAAGAAAAAAGCCAAACGCCGTGAAGGGCCTTCCTCCACTACTCACCACATGCAGAAAAGACAAAAAAATATGGCAGTGCATCTTCCCATGATTGAGGGGAAGATTCACACAAAGCAAAAAGGGGAAAAACGAAGCCCCATGCCACAAACATATGGCGGTGCATCTTTCCATGTTTGAGGGTAAGATGCATACAAACCAGAAAATGAAAAAAACGATGTCCTGTGCAGTGTCGTGGCAGCAACCTCAAAGGAAAAACGGTCCACACAAAACAAACAAAACGGGAACCAATCGGATCTACATGTCTGAAGAGGACAAAAGCACAGGGGAAAAAAAAAAAAAAGACGCCAAGACTCCCGCAGTTATTTATGCTTGTATTCAAACATGCGGCGACGGTTTTGGTTCCGTTGACGCTCCAGCCCATGCGGCCCACACATCCCCGTGGGCCCGAGAGGGTAAGGCGGTTTTCCCGAGAGTGTAAGCCTGGCCTCGCGGGAGCATCTCACGAGATCCGGCTTACACTTTAATAAAAGCAGTATATACTATATATATTCAAACAAAGCTGCCCAGTAAACCGTACGCAGAGAGTGAGAAGAGGACAACAAACGCCGTCGTCGCATATATATATATATATATATATACCATCTGGTGTGGGTGAGTGATAGTCTACTTTGATTTTGGTTAAGGTAGATTATCATTTACAGTGTAATCAGTGAGGGGATTCTGCAGACTGTTGAGGGTTCAGCCTCCTGATGAGTCGGTGAAACTCCGACGAAACAGTTTGT